ACATCTTCAAATATTCCCACAAATAATGCCTCTCCAGTCTCAACAGATTCAGATTCAACAAAAATTTCTTAAGTACCAGTGAACATTTATTGAGAAATACTCTGTTGCAGATGCTGATCTAAGAAACTCTCATCCAGATATTCATTTACTCTTCACAACACTGTGAGGTGCATATTAGAATTATTTCCATTTTACAGATAAGAAGAGGGAGGCACACAGATTTTAAATACTTTTCTCAAGGCAACGTAGTTGAACATGAACAGTGTGACTGTGAAGCCCACAATATTAACCTCTACTTCAGCTGCTTGCTATGGACTGAGTACTGTGCCAAACCTTTCACAAACTGTGTTTTATTTAATCCTCAGAACACCTGTAATATATGTTATTTTATGGAAAATAAACTGATATGTAACAAAACCCTAGATTAAACAAAATATAAATTACAAACATGAAGCTAAAACCCAGAAAACCTAACTCTAAATTCAGTGCTCCTTCTGTGACATCATGGAAGTGAGGGATGTTACCCACATGGATTCAGAAGATAAAGGAAGGAACAGTCTAGTATTGTTGAACTGTCATCATGTTCCAAGCACTTCATATATCTTATATATTCCTCTCAACAACTCTGCTAGGTGTATTTATCCCATTTGATAGACTATGAATTTAAGGTTCAAAGAGGTTAAATAAATTGCCTAAGATTAAATGACAGAGCTAGGATACAAACACAGATTAGCTTGATCCAAAGCCAAAAGTTTTCTTTTGAGCAGGAATGTGGCACAAGGGAAAGAAATGTGGACTAACAAGGAAGGAGAAGGCAAGGGAGGTAATGAGGTTTTTGTGGCCCCCTCTCTTTCAGGTAACTTACCTAGTAAACTTCTATTCCCTAAGTTTGCCAAACATACCCTTTCCCAAAGACTCTGTTTGCCCTAGTTTTTTTTTTCTGTTGTATCTCTTTTGGTCTCCTGGGCTCCAGCTTCAGAGCCATCCCAAAGCATCAGAAAGAAGGAGAGAAAAATAGGGACTATAGGAGGAAGAGGCAAGATAAAAGAACCTCCTGCTTGGCAGCATTCTCTGATCATGACAAGAACAGGAGGTAGAGTCTCTGCAGCACCTTTCTTTGTCCTGATGCTTCAACTTTCTTTGATATACATTCCCTAAGTCTTTTTTCTAACCGACCTGGTCACTTAGAAGGATCCTGAGTCAAAGACGTCAGAATAAAGTGAGTGGATTCTGTTATTGGGTATATGCCTTATAAAGTGGTCAGTTCTCTCATGTTTACTTTCTGTCCAATACATTCATATTATTATTACTCTCTACAGCCTATCAACATTTTTCTTTTTTCTTTTTATACTAACCTGAGGGCATTTTGTCATTGCTTTTTTAGAGAGAGAGGAAGGGAGAGAGAGAAACATCGATATAAAAGAGAAACATCGACTGGTTGCCCAAGGCAGTATTGTATGTGCTGGGATTGGGGATCAAACCCACAGCCTAGGTATGTGCCCTGACTGGAGATGGAACGTGCAACCTTTTGGTTATGGGATGATGCTCCAACTAATTGAACCACATCGGCTAGGGCTGAACATTTTTCATAACTGATCTATTTTATTGATATGTAGATCAATATTGCTTTCTTCATCTTTTGACTTATAGCTGGTCTCTTTATTTATTCATACTCTGTATGTCCTCCCTACACCTTTTATTATCTCCTACTCTTAGTCTGTCCTTTCTGTATTATAGTTATCTTTACCTAATCTTCTCTTATTGGATCTACTGTCTATATAGAAAATTTAGTCTACCAATATCATTTATCTTATCCACAGAAGATCCAATCACTGTGCATGTAATCTAATTTCCTCATGTTTTATCTGGTCCTTGTGGATCTATTTACTCTTCTACACTTGATGCCTGTTTTCCTTACACATTATTCCAACTCTGTCAAGCATTTTGGTAATGCATTTAAATTCTTTACTCCTGATCATTTCCACACAACTCCTTTTTACATTCTGCCTTCTTTATATTCCATTCCTATAATCTATTCATCTATTCTGCCCATTACATGCTTTTCTCCATTTTCCATCTATCCATGCATCCATACAATCATTATAATAACTTTAGTAATCAGTTACTAAAGCAGACACTATAATAGGAACTATTGTCAAAGGGAGAGACAAAAATACTGGTAATTATATTTGTTAAAATATAGAATGGGAACAGTAATGAGAGGAACTCAACAACAGTGAAGAGGAAAGGAGAAAAGGGATGCTAGTGTCTCCAGGAGGAGATGTCACATGAGCCAAAACTTGAAGGCCCACTAGGACTTAGCCATGCAGCATGAGTAAAGCTACAGAGGTAACACACATGCTGTCTGGCAAGAGCTACAGGATATAAAATACACTGAAGGCTGTGGCAACAGTTAAGGGTTTGGTGATATCAGTGACAGGTCATAAAGTACTTATACATGTTAAATAACTTGAACATTATTGTGTAAATGATGGGTTACAATGAAAGGGTATTAAGTAGGGGATTAAAATAATCAGATTTGATTTTTAAAGGAGAGACTATAGGCAGTGAGACCAGTTAGCAATCAACAATCAACGTGTGAGAGGCTAATCTTTTGTTCAAGTATGCAGAGCATCAAATGTGAAGATAGGACAGATCAAAGGTAGGCAGAAAGGTTTGGGGCTAAGAGGGTCCAGTGCATGATGAATGGAATATGAGGCAGGTATTGAGGAGAAGAAACTAAGGCTAAGGTTATGAATGATGTTTGCACTTTGAAAATGCCCATTTTTGAAGCTAGTATATAATGTAGGGATAGGTATGCCAGGTTAACCTTTCAGGGATAAAGCGGTGAAGGTGTGTCCTTACCACTAGCTTATGAGCTTCCTGAAGACTGAGCATATGTCTTATTTACATTTTATGTACCGTAACTCTTAGCCTGTGGTCTGGAATATAGTTGATCCACCATAAATTTTGAAATAAATTGTGGGTGTGGATGGAAAGGATGGGAGTGATGGCAAATATAAGCTAGGGATAGGGTATTTTGTAGTTGCATTGAAGTACTCTAGTATTAAGGGATATGCCAAGTGCTCAAGTACTGAGTAATACTCAAGTGTTAATCACAGAGCATAAAGAAGAGAAAAATTCAGGTATAAAGCATTAGCAGATTTGATGTCTTATTTTCCATATATATATGAGATATATAGTATTTGTCTTTCTTTGTCCTTCATCACTTAGTAGAATGCCCTTAAGGTTCATCTATGTCATTACAAATGACAGAATTTTCTTCCTTTATATGAGTAAATAATACTATGATATAGATACATATATATACGTATATATAACATGCATTAGTTATAGGATGAATAACTTCTGGGGTACACATTTCACAATATACACTTGTATCAAATCATTACACTGTACAACTTAAATTTATACAATGTTATATGCCAATTATATATCAATAAAGCTGAAAAAATAATTTTCAGGTTGAAGTCTGATGTGTGAGCACATCTGGCCCCTGCTAACCTCATAGAGGTTAGGCCTGCAAACAGGCCTGAGACTAAAAAAGTGAAGAATCTCCTGATGGGAGATTGCACCCAAATGTTCAGTTGTTCTTCCCCCCATTCTCCTTTATAATCTCTGTACTCCCTTCCAAAGCTACTACCATACAGAGGCAATAGGGATACAATAACCTTTTCTTCATATAAACTGCCATGTGGAAATATCAGCATTAGATCCAGAGGCTTGCTGTTTGAAAAAGGCAAATTTTATTTTTGATACCAAGGTAAACAAAGAGCACTGTACTACATGCATGCTTTTGTATTGGCCTCAATACTGTCAAAATAATTAGCCAAGGATGCCATTAGACTAGGTGACTTTAATGCCTTGGTATCCTGCATAGGTAAGCAAAATAAAACTTAACCCAGGGGCCATTGTAAAGGCACTCATATCTGAGAAAACAAATAAGAATCAATCACAAACAGCCAACTAGGTTTTCCCATCCAAGGCTATCACTTAAGCTATGACCAGTCAAATAATGTCCTTGTTTTACTTCCATTACATCTGCTCTATAAAAGACTTGCCCCTAGCTTCTGTCAGGGGAGGGCACCTGATGACCTCCAGTTTGGCACTGCTTGATTTGAACTGATGTTTGTTCCAATAAATTCTTGACAATTTTAATGTGCCCCAGTTTGACTGAGCTACAGGGTATAAAATTTGAGAATCATTGGGAATCTCAGTTCTTTTTCCATCCAGAATCCTCTTCTTAATATGACTTTCAGGTGGGTCCCAGATACTCCTTTTAAGTACCAGGTTATTTAAGACTGCACCCTACAGGTGCTGACCTCTGGGGGTTTTACCTTGTTCCCTTGCAGGAGATGATCCGCTTCCCTAGCTGAGCCTCAAAGATTCTCTTTCTTGGATGTAAATCCAGGATGTATCTTACAGTTCCTCCTTCAGTTGCCTGAATATTTTGGAAGCTCTGAGGTCCTGAGTTCCTGGTTTTACCTCTTACTATCTGTGTGACCTGAAGTAAGTCACTTAATTATGTCTTCATTTCCTCAGGTGTTAAGTGGGGTACAACTGAAGGTTCTTTAGAGATGAAATGAATATCTGCAAAATTTTTAGAGTGATGACTGTACTAATACTACAGAGCAAATACCTGACTGTGTTATGTGTTGTTTTTCCTCCAATATGTACCTTATTTCCTCAAAATAGGGCTGTAATCCAGCTTGCAGACAAACTTTCATATTAGGGCATCCCAGATTCTCTTACTACTTTTATTTTTTATCTGTGTTCTCCAGATGACCAACAGATGACCAACTAGCATCATCTTTACCTGATGCTTATCAATATATGCTTCTCCAAAGGTCAGAACAGATTCCTCAGCTCAGTAATAAATTATGTGTGACACATACATTGCATTTTAACAATAAAAACACTGATGCCTCCTGAAGACACCCTATTCCACCTCCTGAAGAACAGTGTGCAAGAACAACCCCATGGAACAGAGGAACCAGAGTGAGAGAGTCACTGAGTTTGTGTTGTTAGGCTTTCCAGCTCCTGAGCCACTGCGGGCACTGTTATTTGCCCTTTCTCTGTTGGCCTATGTGTTGGTGCTAACTGAGAACACACTCATCATTTTGGCAATTAGGAGCCACCCTGCCCTTCACAAACCCATGTACTTCTTTCTGGCTAATATGTCCTTCCTGGAGATCTGGTATGTTACCGTCACTATTCCCAAGATGCTAGCTGGCTTTGTTGGGTCCAAACAGAGCCATGGACAACGAATCTCCTTTGAAGGCTGTATGACACAGCTCTACTTTTTCCTGGGTCTGGGCTGCACTGAGTGTGTCCTTCTTGCTGTTATGGCCTATGACCGCTATGTGGCCATCTGCCACCCCCTCCACTACCCTGTCATTGTCAGTGGCCAACTGTGTGTACAGCTGGCAGCTGGCTCCTGGGCTGGAGGTTTTGGCATTTCCATGGTTAAAGTTTTTCTCATTTCTCGCCTCTCTTACTGTGGCCCCAACATCATCAACCACTTCTTCTGTGATGTCTCCCCATTGCTCAACCTTTCATGCACTGACATGTCCACAGCAGAACTTACAGACTTTGTCCTGGCCATCTTCATCCTGCTGGGACCACTTTCTGTCACTGGGGCCTCCTACATTGCCATCACTGGTGCTGTGATGCGCATTCCCTCAGCTGCTGGGCACCATAAAGCCTTTTCCACCTGTGCCTCTCATCTGACTGTGGTGGTCATCTTCTATGCAGCCAGTATTTTCATCTACGCCCGGCCAAAAGCACTTTCAGCTTTTGACACTAACAAGCTTGTCTCAGTACTCTATGCTGTCATTGTACCATTGCTCAACCCCATAATTTACTGCTTACGCAACCAAGAGGTCAAGAGAGCTCTACACCATACTCTACACTTTTATCAGGGCCAGGATACTAAGCCTGGGAAAGCTAAGAGAGATGGGTAGAAGGGAGATGTTTAAGTCTTAGAAATGTTCCTAAGCTTAGGATCCATGTCTTCTATGAAGTCCAGAGGAGCTTTTAGGGCCTAAATTAGGGAGTAGAATTTCAAAGGCAACACCAAGGAACTAGTCCAAGAGGAGGAAGAGGGATTGAAAGCTAGTAGCTAGCAGCTGGATTTCTATTGAATTTACATAGAAAGCGTTTATGCGTCATGCATCCTGGTCGGGTAGAAAAGGCTGACTGAGCAGAAGGCATGACTAAACTTTGATATTTAAACAAACAAACAAATGCAGAACTGGCATCTCTCTGCATGGCCTTTCCTGGGCTTGCTCTTGATGTTAGTTCTGAAGCAGGTGTAGAAAAAAGAAGCAGAAGGAGGAAGCCATTCAGAGAAGCTCAGGCTTCATCGTGGAAAAGCATCAGAAGACTCTGGATGAGATCTCTTCTAGCCACAGGCCACCAGCTACAGCCCATGAGGTAACAGAGACCAGGAAGTAATCATTCTGGTGTGAGTTACAAGGCAAGGAGATGGGAAACTAATGTTTGTGTTGGCAACATATTGCCTCCTGGGCTGCAGGGGTTTTAGCTTCATTTCCTGATTTACTGCAGTCAGTGTACACACTGAACTAGTGGCTTAGTGTAGATGTTGATTTAATTTCGTGTCTCTAATTAGATGGCAAACTCCATGGAGGCAAGGATCACATTTTCTTATCCATCATTTATTACCATGACCCAGGACAGTGTTCTAGCACATGTGGCTATGAAGAAACACAAATAATGAATACAATTTGGAGCCACGTAGGCAAGGCATGTGTGTCACACCTACAGATAGGATCGGCAGGTGTAGAAACTAAACCCTCATATGTCACTAGAATATGGGAAGGTACAAATTGGCGTAGCCTTGCTGGAAGGAAATTTGTCAGTTTGTATCATGAACACTAAAAATATTGAAAATATCGTGATTCAGAAAGATTTATATAAATAGTCATATAATATATAAGGTGTAAATTATTTAAGCAACTCTTTATTTGTACAGGTTTATCATATTTCTGTGTTTTTGTTGCTATAAATGAAATGCACTGACATGTCCTCATTGATACCCAGTCATCACGGCCACAGGTTAATGTGTGCAGTTGGCTTTCTCCTATATGACTGGTTTCATGATCACTGTGATCAAAGTCTATTTCATTTCACATGTCACCTTCTGTGGCTCCAGTATCATGAACCACTCATACTGGGACATCTCATAAATCCTTAAAGTGGCCTGCAAACACATGTCCACAGCTGAACTAGTGGGCTTTGCTTTTGGCTGTTGTTAGTCTTGTCTTCCCTCTCACCATCACCATCTTCTCCTGTCTACATTGTCTCCACCGTTCTGCAGGTACCCTCCACCCAGGGATGGGAGAAAGCCTTCTTCACCTGTGCATCCCACCTCACTGTAGTCATACTTTATTACACAGCCATGGTTGTCATGTATGTTCAATCCAGAGCAATTGCATCATTTAGTTCCAACAACCTAAGTTCAGCTGTATATGCAGTTCTCACTCACATGCTAAATCCCTTCTTCTACCATCTTAGGAACCAGGAATCAAAAATGCTATATAAAAAACTGTGGGGGTTGGTCAGTGCTTCCTGCTGAGACCTGCTGCCTTGAGGAGGAAACAGTATCCCAGCAAGGATGACATTCCCATGACACTTATCAGAAATCTGCATATTAGTTTGCTCTATAGGTCTGGATTCTTAAAGTTACAGCACAGGAAGGGAGAAAAAAATTAAAAGTTGAAACATGACAGTATGTATTGCTTTAATCTCAAACTCATTTCTCATTAAAGGGGTGGGATGGGAAACTATTTCTCAATAGTTTTACAAGAGATGAAAGAATCAATATTACTGCAAATTTTGCAGTTAATATGTGTCCTTTGAGATACTCTCTTTTGGGCTCTTATAGCCTTCCATGATATATTGTGACTATTATCAGCAAACTAACTGAACATTATTATATCAGTATATGTCTGATCTGAAATCCTCAACACATCAACATGTGCTATATACAAACTAGGTAAAAACCAAATCCAAAATTTTCTAGGACAAATGTGAGTGTTAGATATCATTGGGGGACCTGCTGCCCAGATAAGGAAATGTAGTGTACCAGGGAGAGTTCTATAAAATTGACCAAACTGAGGCTAAAATGTGAAAGAAATAATCAAAAAGGGCCACCTTGACTATATCCTGCCCATTTTGAATGGGAGTCTCCTACTTTTTGTCTCCCATTTTTTACCTAAGCTACTTTCAACATCATTTAACATTCCCTGGCTAATCTTTCTTATACATTGCTCTTATAATGTTACTTTACTATTTAAGAATTCTCAATTTGAAGAGAATTTTAAAGTTATTTTTTGGGAATTATTCTAGCATTCAAGAATCCCATCTACACCATTTCAACTTGCCTTTTTACTGATCCTCAATATGAAACATCCATTCTGCCATCGGTCATATTAATGTACTCAATAATTACATGATTCTAATTCTTATCTTGCTTAATTCATTCAGTTGTTCATTCATTTAACATTTTGTGCCCTTATTCCTTGTCAAGCACTCTAATAGCCTGTGAGAATATAATACTCAACAACAAAAATAGATACAGATTCTTCTTTCAAATAGCTATAATGAATAGGGAAAATAAAGGCACAATTTCCTTTAAAGGTATAAGTGTAATGATGAAAGTACAGGGTAGTATGGAAGCATATGGTAGGTAGATCTAGGGTAAGCAGAGAGAATGTTCCAACAGAAGGAGCATCTAGGCTAACATGAGGGAATTCGATAGATGTTAAATTGTGGACAGTAGTGAATGTCAGGGTTATAGAGATAAGAAAAGCCAAGAATCAATAGAGAGATAATGGCACACTCACAGACCTAAAAGACGATTAGCACAAAGTGACATAAGAAGTAAGGGGTACATGAGGAAGAATATTCGTGTTTACCAATCCAAATCTAACCAATATGTGAATTTTCTCTTATTATATAGGTTTATGGATACATAATAAGTTCCACAGAAGCATTTTCAGTTTCTGCAAGTACTAGATCTTCAGTTTGTAGTGTTTCTATCACATGAATGGCAGTCACTGATAGAGTGAAGCAAGAACAAGGTGAGTTCACTTTGTGTATTGAGCCTTGACTACAGCCATTTTTTTTCTGAATAACTGACGTTAGTGTTTGACTTCCTCCTAGACTGTGAGTTCTTTTAGATGAGAAACTAACCTTATTCCTCTTGAATCTATAACATTGGCCATAGTCCCTGACACTGTAGGTACCTGTTACAAGTTAACTGCTACTTCTCACTCCCCAGTTACCTATTCTCTGCACTCTTGTACCCCATCTCCCAGGGGGTAAGAGCAGTTGATCCTATGGACAGTAATAGTCTGGCTCTGTTGGCTTCTGGCTTCCAATTTGGTTGGGTCAATGAGAGGCATCAGCAGGAAACTGAAGGATGCCAGGAAAGAGATGACAAGGAATGATTCCCTGGGTTCTATGACTCTGCCAATGGCTACAACTCCTGCAACAGGGGTTCCCCTTCCAAGGCTACCACTGTCAATGGGTGTCTGCACTGCTAGTCCTTCTGTGGTTTGACATCCTTGCCGGTTGTCTTCACCTCACCCAACCTTGGTGGACAGTTGTGACGTTTAACTCTACTCCAAAGTTTCAACAGAAATTGCTTTCTGTTTCTTACTAGGATTCTGACTGTACATGACATTTAATAAGTATTAGTCAAATTGAAATAAACTTCAGTGGAAGTGCTTGGAATAAATATGCCACTTTAAACACTTACATGGGTTTAGATTTTAAAATAAGGAACATAACCTAAGTAAACCTCATTTTCTACTTAAGTATGATGTATGACAGAACTTGAATTAAAATGTAAGGCTATTTGCTCTACATTTAATTTTCAAGCATTTGTCAATAAATAATTTCTACTAATCTTCCATCCACATACCACTGCCAATTTGAATAGATTATGAGATGTCTGAGCTAACACATTCAGCAAATTTAAACTCAGGTGTTGAATATTTACATCACACCTAGCTTTTCTGCAATTTATTATAAGACTCTGTATGCCACTAAGAAGCACTTAGCTCCTCACAGAACCAGTGTAAATTTACCGCATAGAACTATTCCTTTACTTTTTCCCTTTTAGGTTGCACTTCTCTTATCAGTGTAAAGCAGACTATATTTTAAGATCTATAGAAGAATTTCCCCAATTTATTTTCCCAGGTAGTTCCAATTCACTCACTTAGTTTACCATCTTCTAATAAATACTATAATCAGACTTTTAAAACAGCTTCACTGGCAACTGGGTAAGTGGGAAAATAATGGGAGAGTAGATGGTCTTGGGAGACAAATATTTAACTTAAGAACATGGCATTACCATCTGTTAATTTGTGTTTTTCAGAGGTTATTAGAACTTTAATTTTTTGAGCTTCAGTTTGCACATCTGTGAAATATCTATCTTTGAAAGTTATTATGAAGATCAAATGAAAATGAATATGTGTGAACATATCTGGCACAGTGTCTGACATATACTATTCTAAATTATTCAACAAAATACAAGATAAACAGAATTGATTGTAAGATTTTTAAAAGTCAGCTGCAGTTTCAAGTCATTCATGACATTTTCTGTTTTCCAGCTTCCAGCTGGTGCTGCTTTACCCCACACCTATCAGGGAGAAATGATCTCCAGTTGTGTCTACCTCCTGTTTATTGTGACAACGTCTTAGTTTTAACACTCTTCCAGACTTTGCCTTATATTGGTAATTATTCAAATACACATAGTATTTCTCATACTAGATTTTAAGTTTCTCATATCATAGGTGTCTCTTTATAACAGTTACTAAAAACTGTTTTGACTTACTATATATTCAATGGCCAATAAATATTTAATGAATAAATCCCTGTCTGATGTATGCCATATTTTCAACTGAGAGGCACAGTACCCACACTGTCCCATTTT